ACGGCTTTCAGCAGCTCCGGGTGCTGCCGCTGGGTTAGTTTTGGTAATGAGTTCACTGGCCTGTCATCTTCCATGTCCTCATCCATGTTGTCTTCGCCCTCTGGAAAAACGAAAGGAAGAGACTCCCATAAAAAAGAAAGCAGAGCATGGACTGGACTAACCAGCTTCCCTGAAAGGCAGCAGCAGGAGTCACTGAGCTACGGGCAGGCAGCACGGCATGGCACGGCTTGGCATGGCACAGCTTGGTATGGCATGGCACAGCAGGCTCCACCAAGCCCCAGCGGGGCAGCACACTTCTCCCTCCCTGCTTCTGAGCCAAGGACCTGGAGCCGGGCAGGCACGACCAGCTCGAAGCCCCAGCTTCACAACAGGCTGAGATCCCGATCGGCAACAAGGGAAGCAGCGCAAGCAGAGGCAGACAGAGAGCACCCGGGCTGAACTCCATCTGGGCTGAGGAGGCACACGGAATCCTTCCCTGACCAACTGTTCCACTGATGGGTACCACCCATTCCACTCCCAGAGTGGGAAGGAAACAGCCATGGAGAAACATGGCAGCAAGTTCCTCGTCTGGTTCTGGAAAGTGGACTCTTGTCCAGTCCAGGAACTAAGGAAGCAATGCAGGAAGACGCTGACCCTGCAGAGATCAGGAAGACGAGCAGAGCGCCCTGCACTGCCTGCTCTAAAGCCATGCAGTAGAGACTGAAAATCTCGGAAGATACAGAAGCATCTGGAAAAACAGGGAAGACACTTCCCTTTTGCCAGCTCTGTGGTTAGGAGTAGCTCAAAGTGATCATTTTCAGCAGAGGTGATGGCTGACACTCCTATTGACTCCTACTCTCAACTTCCATCAGCCTGTACTTGGAATCTGGAGTGTGTTCAAAGGTGATGAGCCCAATACAAGCCTGAATGAACCAGAGAACGGAGGGTTTCCCTTCCTGGAACCTGCTGTATGTCTGCCTGCAGTGTCAAGAGCAAATGCTGTCACGACTTGAAGGAGCTCCTGCAAGTGGTTATGGATTGCTACAGCCTCCTCATCTCCAGCAAGCAAAGCGCTGCACGTCCACAACTGCCTGTTCTTCCTGCTGCAGATCACTGCTATGGAGGGAAGCATGCACTCTCCTATCTCACGCTGTACTGGGAATGGCACGTCACATATTCCATCGTTTCATCTTCCCTGTGAATCCTTTTCACACAATGTGAAGGCTCATTAAGTTGCTCAAATGCTCTGACGATCCTTCCTGTACCAACTCCTTCTTCTCTACGTGGCTGAACACCCTCCCACATCCATGCACAAATACACGAGGATGCTCATGCACCACCTGGTTCTAAAAGCAGGGATGGGGAGCTGTGCAAGAGGAAAACTAGGTTGTGAAAGCAGAGATCTCCATGCGAGGGGCTGGCAGATCAAACGCACAAACCTGCACTTTGTGTCTCCCTAATGCTGAAGCAGCTTTTCAGTCTGCCTTCACAAGCAGCACTGTGTTATCAGACCAACATCAACGATCACAAAACGCTTCAAAACATTTCACTTTATCTGAATGCAAAGGAACCTGGATGGTGCTAAATGAAGACACCACCACCACTATACAACTGTGTCTGTGGCGTGCAGTCATGATTAGAAGAGAAAAACTACAGGTACCTGATGCAGTCGAGGTAGATGCCTGGTCATCCTCTGGCTGAACTGTCTGTCGGATAATTCTGTCGATCTCCAGGATGTCCATCCACTGGCTCAACTCGTTCTTCAGCTCCGCCAGGCGCTGCTGGGTAGCAATCTTCTCTCTCGCCAGCCGCTCCATCTCGTGCTCATACTCTTTTTCCTTCCTCTTTAAAGTCTACAGAGGGAAGAAAAATAAATATAAGGAGAACAAAAACGAGCATGATCTGCACTAACCTGGTCACTCCCACGTCCACAGCTCCTCTTTTTTAACAGTTATGCTGGTGTAAAAGGTGTTCAGGTACAGCTACACCTTCCAAACTCGGGCAGAAGGGAAAGGACAAGAGCTGGCCACAGAAACCAAAAGAGTCACATTGGCCAACAGCTTCCTGCCTTCTGAAGGAAAACCAATGAGCCTCCAAAATTGAAATGCTGAACACATCAGGTGAGCCCCTTCGACTCCAGGGGTAAGTTTAAAGCCCAGAACTCCTCAGGGAAAGCTGTAAGGCTTCCTCTCTGGAAAAAAGTATTTGCCACTCTGAAGAGAGAAAATGAAACCACCTTCCTGCATTCTTCCCCTTTGCTCTGACCTCCCCAACAAAACTAAAGAACTGAGAGCCAAGAGCACAGAACTATGACTATGACTCACATCACACATCATATGAGGTGGAAGCCAGACACTTCCCAGCACTGTACTTCCACCCTGCTGACTTCCTATGCTGAACACAGGACACTGATGGTACTTGTGTGCAAACGCAAGGAAGAGCCTCTCTAAGGACACAACCAAACGACTCATGGATGCAGAGCGCTTGTGGACCATGAAGGGACTGTCACGAGGTCCCAGACAGGTAACTGTTGAGGTGCAGCAACATAAACCAGGCCTCCTCTCTTCTGTGTCAGTCCAAGGGAGCTCCTTGTTGCACTTCAGCATCAGTTTAGAGCAACAGGGCCCACGCTCAGCTCCCAACATCACCCTCACTTCACCTGCCTCACGAAATACTTGAAGAGCATCAGGGCTCATCAGAGTCTGGTGGAAAGGGGCAAAGGGAGGGAAATGGGTGCAGCTCCCTCTGAATGCCAGGGAAGAGGCCATGGCACCACTGAGAGTCAGCCACCGGCAACTGGGGGTATAGAGCTTTTACTACATACACCTATTTCCAAGCATCCCTATGGAAAGGAAGCATCTACAGAGAGAGCAGTGCTCCTACACAGCAACTGACTGCTGGCCCACGGCTTGAGAGGTGAAAAATACCCCACATCCTTGCATGAGGGCAGAAACTGTGTGCAGAAAACAGAGGGATGGAGGGGAAAGCGAAGGCGATGATGGAGCTCCTGTGCTCAGGTTTAAATATGCAAGATGGTAACTTGTCTGACTGTCTTCCCCTCACTGTGCCACCAGGAAAGCAGCAGGAGAAACCCCGACACTAAAACTGCTGCGTAGTGACGTGAGCCCAGCCCTGCTCCAAAGCACTTCCCTCCAGGCACGTTCCCGGTGCAGTGTCAGGGCACGGTAGCGCAAGGACAGAGCAACACGGCTTTCCAGGATTCGTAACCAAGAAATGCAGGCAGCCTCAGCACCCCCCTGCACAGCACAGGCGCAGCAGGCAGGTTTGGCTTCCTGCCCTGCTGCGGGAGGAACTCCCAGCACCAGGGGAGAGCTCAGCCCCGAGCTACGGGCAGGCGCTGTGATTACTCACGAACTTGTAATTAGTGGAGGGGCAGGAGATCCCTCACAAGCACCAGCGGAGCCGGAGCGGCTGTGGGGGTGCTCCCCTGCTCCAGCACAGGCTGTGGGACTGCTCCCAGCCCAGCCCCGTGCTGGGAAACGCCTTGACAGGGCGCCAGCTCCTGCAGCACCCGCCGCAGCCATACGCTGCTCCCGGGCTGGGTGCTCTCCAAGGGAGGCTGCAGCAGCAGATGGGCTGGAGTCTCTGCTGGCACGGGCAGCCCCTCAGAAGCTATTCCGGGATAGAGCAGTTCACGGTGGTAAAGACGGATCTACCGGCTGAGCTTCTCTGGCCCAGTGATGAACTCGGTGCGATTCACTGGAGCCTCCCTCCCTCTCCCACAGCTCCCACACTGCCCCGCAGGGTGCAGCCCCCTCCCAGGCTCCGCAGGGGCTGGGTGCGTGCCCTGCTCTGGAGGGTGAGCCTGGGAGCAGGAACAGGCCCTGTGCAGGCACTCGTCTCCCGCAGGATCCTGCCAAGAGGGGCAGGAGCAGGGACCCTCCTGCCTTTGAACCTCTTCCCACCGGCAGACAGGATGGAAGAGGGTGGCCTCATGTCTCCCCATGTCCCCTCTGGCCAGCACCAGCAGCAGCCCCTTGGACAGAGGCTCTCGGGCATCTGCCCATGAAAAGTTACTTCCCGCAGATCACCCTGCCCATGGCGGGGGCCCAGTTTTCCCA